GCCTACCCACAACGCAAACTTTCAGCGTCTCACGCATTTAACCACGCTTCATTTAATGGCGGAGCTACTCAAACAGATATGGGAGTACCTTTGCTACCCATGACTCTGAAACGTGCTGCGTTTGAAGTATATACCCTAATGAGAATTCTTTATACAAATGAAAATACTTATGCTCGTTCGTTTATGAGATGACAAGAAAGTGGTACACGAGAAGTCCTTGTGATTCTAAAATAACGCGATCATATAAATCTTTATAACACATCATGTAGCATACTGAAATATTAATTAGGCATTTTTTTAATCACAGTCCCAAAAATGAATAGGTAGTTAAAATTGACGGATTATTCATGGTCAAAGTCCAACTCTGTCGTTCTCACTGACTATGCCTAAGAAATGCTATATTAGGAAAAAATTCTATTCCTTTCACGGCATCAAACGCTGTATTTGTTCTGTTGAATTCAAAATTCTAGAGATGCATCAGACTTAAAACGCATAAATCAGGAAGCATGTTTGCAAATCGAAACAGGAGATTCACAAAATAATTTTAACAAAGATCAAATCGATGACAACCCTCAGTTATGTTATTTAGCATTCCAGCCATCTCCACCCACAACGTCATGCAGGTCCATGATGACCTCAGCGAAACGCCTTCGAGATGGCGTTGGCTGATGAATCCTGTCTGACGAAATCTCATGATTTTGCGGATAATCTCATCTAAATGTGCAAAATTTACCCAATACTGTTGGCTTTTTTAATCATTGTTGAACCCGAATAGGTCGATTTAAATCACCAAAAATAGTTTTTTTTTCTACGCTGCTACTTTACGAGTAATAATAGTCTTCATCCATATTCATGTAATAAAGGAGGTGGTTATTTCTAAACAAAATGAATCTTTTGCATAAACATTCAACAGAAAAGCCTTAACGGCAATGATAAAAGCAGTTGACAAAAATGCTTCTGTTGCCACGGTTAAATTAGCCCGGATGCTGATCTTGTCAAAACTCGGATGTTTCATCAACTAACTTTTCAGACAATCATTCTCACCCGTATGTATTAGCAACCAGTTCAACTGGAGTGACAGCATAAACAACACAATTAGCCAGGTTCAAAATATTGCTGCATTCATTGTGGCAAATCCGAAGAAAATGCAATGGATCGGTGAACTGTGATAAAATAGTGAGTGCAAAGTTGATAAAGAGTGGAAATCCTCAAATAAATGAAGACTGGGTTTACGAAAAATGGTCCTATGAACGGAACAAACCGATATCTCCCTATGGCAATTAAACATGATGTACATCTAAATTGATTCGAAAGAAGTACTCAACATTTTCTACTTTATTCGTCCCATGGTAAAGTGCACGTGATCATAGAGGTTCGGTTATGGTCAATGATTACGAGGTATTTTAGGCCATTAGAATGACAAATCCCGTTCTAGAAGAAGCTCCACCTCGGAGTGAGACCAAGGTAAATAACCTGAAAGCATTTTCAGTGGAATTACATGCGAAATAATAGCAGAGTTTAATGATGTTATCATCCCAACGGTATAATCCACCAAAAATACTTCACAACCGGTACCCATAAACAAGTTATCAAGCTGTTGATACCTTAAAGCACCATTTCATGAGTGAGGGAAGATAAAAAAAACTTTTATTTCGAAGTCAGATCCTTCGTATTAGACGGCAGTTTAATCGTACATCTGCCTACAAAGTGTAGCAGGTAACAAGCATGATCGATGAAGGCAATGTTACTGCGGTATTAAAGTGTGTAATCACTTCTACATTTAAAGAGAGAGAATAAAAAAACCAACAAACTAGTGTCTACTCTCCAGGCTTTTGTTCATTTAACTTCGGGAAACAAAACATACTTGGATTGGGAAGTGAAAATTTATAACAACAATCCCAGATAAAGATAATATTCATAATTTTGTGAAATACAGTTGTAACGGAATGGTATATCATTAAAAGGCTCAATTTGTTTTCCGTAAAATAAAATAATTTATTTATTTATGTGCAATACATTACGACTAAGTCAATCAAGAAGACAAGTGAAGCTTACAATGCAATAAAATCGGCAAATTTAAATCAAACCAATGGATATTTTGCTCAGAAAGTAAAGAGCATGAAACGATGATATCATAAGTATAGTTAAGGTAAGTCGGATCCTTAATAAAAGCCTCGAAGTCTTAGACAAAACCCACAAGGTACATGTAAATGTTCGTCAAACGAGTAATGCTTACCGAACCGTCTTGAGCTCCTCAACAGAGACATCAGCCTGAAGAAAAAAACACTCACTCATCCAAACTGGTTAGCACTGTTGTGGTTAAAAATGAACACAACGCCAACACCTAGGAAAATAAACAAGGAGAGTGAAGCATTGATGATGATAAATTGTAGCTTGTTGATAGACATTTTAGTTGTGTATATTGGCATCTAAAGCAAGCATTCTAGTATACCTTGCTATCCACGACAAACACCAGTGTTTCCGTAACAATATTTTAACCCGATACACGCATCAATGTACGCGATGCGGCTAAGATTCGATCGAATTTTATTTCACTTTAGCTCAAAAAGAAGCAAATTCACGTCGTTTATGAAACTCCCAGAAAATCAATACGAAGCATACTACAACCCCATTTTTTTTTCATAAGATCCTAGGATCGACGCAGTAAATCTAGAGCTGGAAATTGCGGAGAGTTGTTAAACATTGAGCATGCCAAGTTGTTCCAAGGCGGCCTTGCAACTTCAACCATGACTTCTCACAAACCATACGATCTAGAAATGGATAGCCAAGAACCTTCAGGGTTATGTGGCTTCCAACATTTGGATTTCAAGCTCTTCATCCCTGAAAAACTCGTACCACCACTTTAAGATGCAGCTGAGAGGGTCACCAACGAGCACATCTACAATATCAAGGTCCATTAATGTTGGTTACAAAAAGCAGTAGCAAATATAACTAGACTACTTGAAAAATGCACCAGAAGATTATACGTCAATCAAGGAAGGTAGCTGGCTGACTGAAGTTCTTGGCCTTCGTGAGCGACTCATTGATACTCGATTTCAAATGCTTGTTTGCACTACAATTAACTTCCGGTAAGTCACACTTCACGTGTTCATTGCACACAACATCTACTCAAGAATCAATTTGTAGATTCATTTGTCTCAGGACTCATTCGGGACGGATTCATCAGAAATCACAGATGTGCTAATTTTCTTGTAATGAAAACATCGCATTAAATCTGGTTTATAAAGGTTTTTATTTGTTTAGAAAATTTCATATACAGTTCGGGCATCTAAAACAATAAGACCGCAACAAATGTATACATTAGGCCATCAAAAAGCGTCTTAAAAATTGAAGTAATTTCTAGTTGCTATTGTGAAATGATACGTCAAAAAGTGGTCGTGCAGTGACATTTTAATCGATATGGAGAACCTAGTAACACATTAGTGAAGCTACGCCAGAAAATTAAGCAAAATATAATGATATTTTAATCGAAATTAGCTCTCTAGATATAGTAGCAGGGTGAGTCTATTCCCTGGTGAAAAAAATAGAAAACAATAAAAGGACAATAAAATGTACGCTCTTTTGGCCTCAAGCACCATTTCATTGCCAAGCCTTACTTAAAGTACATAATTAAACTGCGCATATCGAAAATAAACAAGTTACCCCCTCGCTCAGTTAACATCGTCGTCGTATAATTGAGAAGCAGTAAAATGTAATGGCAGACCTCAATGGGAATAGTCGTGCATGTAAGAGGAAAGTATAAGATTTCAATCCCATTTAGGATGGATAATCTTGTTATTAGCTACTTTAACTTATAGAACATGTAAAGCAGACGTGTTTTGCCCAGTGCAAATAAAATCGAACAGCCATTCATAACAACGCCTCTAGGACACACTTGCGAACAGAGGAGAAGGATACTTCATTTTTGAGAACCGTACAACAAAAAAAAAAACAGAGGATAAGTGCAGATTATAGCTTTAAGCGACTAAAATAGGTTGATGAGAGAGCAACAGATATTTTCACTAACAGTTAAACATTTAGCAGGCTGCAAAATGACTCCTCAAAAAGTCCTATTTAAAAAGCAAGTTGCTTAGCTTTGCACTACGAACTCACGCGAAGAATAGTCGACGTATCAATGACTATTGATTTTGACAGTAGCCTATTAATTGAAAACTGTATAAATTATACGAGATCATTTTTCAAAAACAGTAATAAAACGCTTAAATATGTAGCCAAACAATTTATAACAAATTACTTAAATGACAACAGTTTCCATACAACTGAAGGTTACACGACCCCTATATTTGAACAAAAGCTTAAGAGGTGCAAATCGACGATTACAGTTCAACTAGAC